GGGTTTATATGTGGACTTTCTATCCTGTTCCATTGATCTATATTTCTGCTTTTGTGCCAGTACCTTACAGTTTTGATTACTGTAGCTTTGTTGTATAGTATGAAGTCAGGGAGCCTGATTCCTCCAGCTCTGTTTTTCTTTCTCAGGATTGCTTTGGCTATTTGTGATCTTTTGCATTGCAATACAAATTTTAAAATTTTTGTTCTACTTCTGTGGAAAATGCCATTGGTAATTTTATAGGGATTGCATTGAATCTGTAGATCTCCTTGGATAGTAGAGTCATTTTGACAATATTGATTCTTCCAATCCAAGAACATGGTATATCTTTCCATCTGTTTGTGTAATCTTTTATTTCTTTCATCAACATCTTATAATTTTCAGAGTATAGGTCTTTTGTCTCCTTAAGTAAGTTTATTCCTAGGTATTTTATTCTTTTTGATGTGATGGTAAATGGGATTGTTTCCTTAATTTCTCTTTCTGATATTTCACTGTTAGTGTATAGAAATACAAGAGATTTCTTTTTTTAAATTTTTATTGGAGTATAGTTGATTTACAATGTTGTGTTAGTTTCTGCTGTACAGCAAAGTGAATTAGTTATACATATACATATATCCACTATTTTTTAGATTCTTTTCCCATATAGGTCATTAAAGTATTGAGTAGAGTTCCCTGTGCTATATAGCAGGTCCTTATTAGTTATCTATTTTATATATAGTAGTGTGTATATGTCAGTCCCAATCTTCCAACTTATCCCTCCTCCCCCTTTCCTCCCTGTTAACCATAAGACTTTTTTTCTACATCTGTGACTCTATTTCTGTGGAGAACAGTACGGAGATTCCTTAAAAAACTAAAAATAGAGCTACCACATGATCCAGCAATCCAACTCCTGGGCATATACCCATAGAAAACCATAATTTGAAAAGATACATGTACCCCAATGTTCATTGCAGCACTGTTTACAATAGCCAAGACATGGAAGCAACATAAATGTCCATTGACAGACAAATGGTTAAAGAAGATGTGGTATGTATATATGATATAATATTACTTAGCCATGAAAAAGAATGAAATAATGCTATCTGAAGCAACATGGATGGACCTAGAGACTGTCATACTGAGTGAAGTAAATCAGACAAATAAAGACAAATATCATATGGTATCACTTATATGTGGAATCTTTAAAAAATGTTACAAATGAACTTATTTACAAAACAGAAATAAAGGCACAGTTGTAGAGATTTCTATGTATTAACTTTATATCCTGCAACTTTGCTGAATTCATTGATGAGTTCTAGTAGTTTTCTGGTAGCATCTTTAGGATTTTCTGTGTATAGTATCATGTCCTCTGCAAACAGGGACAATTTTACTTCTTCTTTTCCAATATGGATTTCTTTTAGTTGCTTTTAAACATCACAGAATTCTTTCCTGGATTTTGAATGAGTTCTCTCCTTCTAAGGGCAAGTGAACATAACAGAGTTTAAAAAGAAAAATCCTATCTTGATCCAGTTTTGAGATCCCGGCTACCGGTGAGTCAGTCCCCCTCCTTGAGCAGCTGATTAATCAGCTTTCCTTATCGGGCTCTTACACTGGGGGCCACTAGGCCACTATGCACCAGCCCTAATTACCCAGAGGCCAGGTATCAGATCATTAACCCCTATGCCCTGGAGTCCACAGAATCATTTAAATTAGCCAATCCACAGGGAGTCCAGGAAAGCTAGCTAACCACATGGCATTTGCCATACACAAGCTGCCCCCGCTAGCTTCAGCTTGCTGTTATCCTGTCCTGGGTGAAACCCCCTCTATGACCTTGTCTGACAGCCTTCTCTCATTTGGAACCGTAAGTTATATAGGGTTCTGCCTTTCACCTATTCTATCCACGTGTCAGTGTGTTGTATCCCACCATCAAAGATTCTTTAAGTCTTATAAAACAGCCCTTTGTATCATCCACCCATCCTTCCATACCACAAACATTTAATGCCTATTCACTATGGGCAAGCCCTATGGCAGGCCACAGAGATGATTATGGTGGTCCCTGTACCTGAAGGCTATTGAAGATGCAGATTTCTCTCCTACACTGAGCCTTTGCATATTGTCAAGTGTCTCCTCTCCTCACCTCACTTTTTTTTTTTTATCATTTGTTGCTGAAATTAATAGTTCTTCATTGCTTTTGTACAACCCAATCAAGGTAGCTAGAAATCTGTGTGCGTATGAATTTTAGAAATGAGACATTCCATTTGCATTTATACGGATATAATTTGCCACGCTACTGATTGGATATACTCTTTTAAATGTTATGGCCACTTGAAGACCTTGACTATTGCCAACAGTTTTCTTCAAGATACCTTTGACACATGAACTACTAAGGAGAAGAAAATACAGAAAACCTTTTGTAGTTGACATGGCGAACCAGCTATGTAATAAAACAAATTCAGAAGAGTATATTGTAAAAAGAGTATATTTTTTCTATCAGAGGCAGCAGGTATAGCGTTTATTTGAATGACCAATTCCTTATCTTGCTTTTGTAGGGCAGCCAGAGCCATTTTAGGATGGTGGGAGAGGTCACAAGCCATGTGAAACACATCTCTCGTGGACAGGGAACTGTATGATTCACACTTGAAGTTCTCTGTTTTTAGAAAGGGTTGAAAACGCTTTGACTTCTGGAGTACTGGAGGTGTTAGGAGCTGCCTGGCATTTTGGCTGTGTTTTCTATGACGAATATGTATGTGTGACTGCCTGGGGAAAAACCACACACAACAGAACCTGAAGAAAATAACATTGGGTGATATATTGCCCCTTACCATAAGTCATATCATATGCAATGTAAACAGAGTGAAATAATTTGCTACTTTCCTGGGTTCCATTATGTATATGTGTTTATTTAATCAGAATTAAATGATATTACATGAAGTTCCCCTTGCCCTCCTGAGGAATCCAGATTCAACACTTTCAGCACTGTTCAGTGCTGGAGAGCGAAGAAAGTGTAACCATAGTGATGGAATGGAAATGATTTTCTTTGTTCAGAGGCTTCAATATCCAACAGACATTACAGTTTTCAAGGTCAAAAATATATTAGGATGAGATAAAAATTAAAGAAAAATGTGCTGGCTTAGCTACAAAAGCTAATTTAGTTTATGCATTATAAATTATGTTAAAATGACTAAAATGAGATTTCTCAGCAAGAACTAAATGTGTGGTTTCACAAAACTAATTTCCAAAGATGAACATGATTACAGAATTTAGCTTTAAAAGCTTTTCAGGCCATCAGAGAAAACAGCAAAGCTATCAATTATCAGACTTTAGTGGTGCCTCTCTCAGAAATATAATGGTATTTTTAGCATTCTGCTCAGCGTTTACTAAATTAAGAATGTCTACAAACAAATCAATTAATTGGAACATTATTTAATTAAGTAAAGCATGTGATCTGCCAAAGAACCTTAAGCACACAGTTATAACAAACATCCCAGTAGCCTTCATTTTCTATGGAGGGAAATAGCTGGCCGAGCAATAAAAGGAAGATGGAAGCTATGGAAAATGAACCATTGATAAAACAAGCAAACACAGCCTCATGCTTTTCTGATTCATGCTATATACTTATGTAATTTTAAAAGTGCTTGTTTTGAAAATCTGTGATTTCCTGGGAGAAGGCCGATGCTATCTGTCAGTCATTCCAGTCCTATTAGGTGGATATGTGGCATTTGTTTTTTGTAACAGTGCATATATACACATAAAAGAATCTGTATTCTCATGCATGGTACATTTACGTCTCTGGATGCTAGGAAGTTACTGGGTTCCTGATGTTTGTTTCAGTGTTACTGGAAAGCGAAACAGCTCAAATTCAGTAAAAGTTTATTTTGAAACTACTATAAGTCTCTGTAACAAACCGTCTCATTCAACCTTTTAATAGTCCTGTGAGTTAGGGATCAAGATCCCAGTTATAAATGGGAGAGGGAGGTTCAAAGAGATGAAGTACTTCCCCTGTATTCATACACCTGGTAAGTTGCAGAGTTAGGGTTTAAACCCAAGGCATATGATAATACCAAGTCCCAAACACTTTCTATTATTCCAGAAAATCTTTTCTGCAGGAAAGCCAGCACAGCCCAGCCTGCATGTCAATGGGCTGCACCAGTGAAATTACTACCATTTTGGCAATGAGTCGTTGGAATACATTGCCTCAAATGAGAGGTAGCAGTGATTTGGTTAGGGAAAGAGCAGACTAGCATCAAATACTGCTTGGACAAGTCAAAATATCAAATTGCCTAATCCCACTAGGCATGAGAGAAAAGACAAGCAACCTATTCACCTACAAACAACCCAGAATAGAATTCTATCCTTATTTGAAGTAATTGCAAACATGGATCAAGGGTTAATGAAGTGTGATGGAGAAAAGTGAGGTGATGACAGTGGGTGTTCAATAGCAATGTTGTGACCTGTTGGAAACTTTGAAATCTGACTTCTTCCTTTTTGCTAATGAAGATTATCTTTTCACATATATCAGAATGGTGAGCTTATGTATTGGGGAACATCTCATGAGCTGTATCAAACATACTTGAAATCATTTTCAGAATCATTTGATCTGAGCAATTACGATTGTCCTACCCAGGTGACTCTTGTCATCCAAGCCAAGTAGGTCTTCTAGTCCTTTGTTCTTTCTTCACTTGTCTCCTCAGCTCCAGGTGCATCCCCAATATGATTATGTATCTGGGCTTTCTCATCCTACTGGGTTTATCTTTTCTGAAAATTTCTCAAACATGACATGGATGTAAGTCTGCAAGTCACTGACACCCAATTACCTGAGAATGATAAAGAAACCATGAACATGCTTTCAAATTCTTGTCTCACTAAATATTAATTTTTAAGTCAAAATTTTGTTACTTGTTATTTTTTACATTTTTATTACTAAGCAATAGGTGAAACTTTTAATAAAATGCCATGTGGGAAATTTGTAATGTTTCCACTCAATTCGAAAAATAAAAGAAATTTGATGTTTATCTTCAAACCAGAGAGAAGACATCGTATTGCTTATCCCATACCTAATGACTGAGGTGGCATGCTGGATGTACTGGCTGGAGCTACAGAGAAGGACACAGATGGACTTCACTCTTTGCCTGGGATTGACAGCATGTGAGCAAAATGCTTTGCTGTAATTAGGGTAATTTTGTGTGCAATAGGGAAAAACAACCCCTTAAATATCAGTGTGGTATTCAATAGCAAAATATGTCTAGACATGTGAAACCTTCCACACTAAAAGAAGTTATTGAAAAATGATTCATTTTTACATCCTCCACCTGCTGCCTGATTCTTCATCATATTGATTTGTGAAAGAAAAAACTTTTTCCAAATCATAGTACTGAGAAATGTTGCTAATAAGATATGTAGCTTTTAGCTCTCAGTCTTTATTGAGCATCACCCATGTGCTAGATGCTGTTTAGAAAAATCAGGGTAAATGTCTTTATCTTAATAAATCAATTTTCATAAAAATTTTCTTTGTCACTCATATTAGAGTTTAGGATCAACTAAACATGGATGATATTTGATCTTTTTAAGAGCAGGAAATTATGACTTTGGAAATATGCTTTTTATGCAAGGATAGATGTTTATTATAATAAGATTAAAGTTGTTTTTCTCTGTCATCTCACTAATCTGGATACTTTAGAGACATTGTTTTAGACATTCTTCTGTATCCATTGTTTTTTTAACCTGTAATTAGAAGGATAACAATTAACAGTTCCTTAAACAAATAGTTTGCTTTTCTCACATAGCAGGGACTCAGGATGTAGGTGACTACCCTTTGTTGTTTGAGCAGCTCAGTGTCAGAGGCAGCGTCTCTGCATTTTTCTTTACCTTTTCCTGATAGTCATTGGATGGTTATTGTTGCTCCAGGCCTCATGCCTATATTCATGCAGGATGTAGAGGGGCAGATGTACTGCTGGAGAAGTAAGCTTCTTTTATCATAAAGCAAAGTTTTCCAGATTACCCCAGCAAACTTCCACTTACAAATCACTGGGTAGAATTCAGGCATATGGCCATTCCTGGCTTCAGATATTCTGAGACATGTTTGGGAATGGATCTTAGATTAGCTATCCAACAATGCCTGATAACTCTTGCAGCTAACTTTGTGTTTAATGACTAGACTTAATGCTGTGGCTGAGTGAAAACAGCTGTACATTGAAGCTTTGTTATAAAGGAAAAGGAGGTGGACTTAAGATCAAATCGTCTGGGTTTAAATCTCAACTCTGTAGTTCCTCTGTTGGGATCTTAGGCAAGCCACTTACTTTTATAAGCTTCAGTTTCCACATCTCTAAACGAAGATAAGAATTCCTTTTTTATAAGTGTGATAAGGATTAAATAAGTAAGATGTCTTAGAATATCAAGTACAGATTTAAATAGAAATTTACTAAATCGTTGTTATATTCATTCTTTCATTCATATATTCTGTTGGTCAATATAAACTTTATTTAAGAGAAGCAATTGAGGAGAGGTTACCACTGGTCAAGTTTGCTTCTATGAGGCCAAAGATGCAGTAGTTGTTCACCTCAGGGTCTTATTTCTGAAGGTGTGTGTGTGTGTGTGTGTGTGTGTGTGTGTGTGTGTGTGTGTGTGTGTGTGTG